TGATTTAATAATTAAGTTAAGCATTTTTATGTCAAGTGTAAAAAATGTGCATCAGTACATCAAGCGCAGCCATCACATTCATTAAAATCAAACTTTGGAAAATTAGAAGCTATAATTTTGTTTCTAACAACTCGCTTATATTTGTAAAATTAAAAATAATAACAACAAATAATAATAATACATAAATCTAATTAATTTTTTTTTAAAAAAAGCTTTGTTCATATTCTTAGTCTAATTGATATTAGTCCAAAAGCGGCTTTGTCCCTGAGGGACTATTGTTTTCGTTTTGCGATTTTGCGTCGAATCACTCTGAATGTCCGTTTCACTTTTCGAACTGTTGCCACCCAGTATTATCGCCCCGTATTATATTTGAACAAATTAAATAATGAAGAATCTGCATAAATGTATGTATGTTTCTCGCATTGTGATAAAACAACGGTACCGACAGCCATCCAATTTTGAACGACGTAATCCTACTGCGAATATGGGCATCTGGAAGCCCAAATTTGAAATTTGGAATTTGTTTTATAATCGATTTCATATTTTGCAAAACATTCGAATTTTTTATTAACAAACTTGAAGGATTTCAAAGCGAGCATGGCAAGGTTATACAGAAAAGACATTTTTATATCCAGCGCGTGAGACTGTGTATCGGAAATTCTAAAAATATGCTCAATTTAAAACTGTTTTGCGATATTGCTCTTGAACTGAATTTTACGGTTTAAGTGCGAAGAACATGATATTTAATAAATAAGGTGTAGAGACATTAGGTACTTTGGAAGCAGGAATGGTGAAAAATGAGCAACGCCTTCGCCGGGAATCGAACCACGGACCTCTGGAATACGCGCCCAGCATGCACACCGCTACACCACGAAGGCACGCTAAGAAGGCGGAAGAAATACCTTATATACTCCCTCTTTTAAAGGGCGACTGGGATTTTAAGGGATCTCCAAATTCTGGTGATTATTCTGGTGACCTATTTAACCACCAAATTCTGGTGATGAAGAGTCATCATTCACCATCTTTTAGTTTGGGCACTACTGTAGAGATATTAGGTATTTTGGAAGCAAGAGTGATGAAAAATAAGCAACGCCTTCGCCGGGAATCGAACCGTGGACCTCTGGAATACGCGCCCAGCTTGCAGACCACTACACCACGAAGGTACATTAAGAAGGCGGGAGAAATACCTTATAACGGTAACACACAAAGCGCTAAAAAAACGCCGCTTTGAACGTAATTTAAAATCTCAAACCTTTAAGTTTTTCATTAAGTTACTTATTCACAATTATTTGTATTATGACTATGTTGTATATTGTATATTATAAAGAAATATGCAAGGGTATCTATGAACAAAACTATTCTTATAAAAGGGGTCTCTATGCGATAAAAGCAGTGCAGTATTTACGTATAAGCTACGGAAGCTATAGCTTAGAGGCCCCCCCTACTTTCTATTGGGCCCCAAAAAACCATATTTGGCGCTGACATATAATAACTGTACTTATATAAAGGGCCCTATATTTCAAATATCTTAGGGCCTTATCAAGTATAAATCCGGCCCAGGATAAAAGGGTTGGGAATGCCTATTCTAAATAATTACGCACACACGCACTTATATAATAAAGTAAACAACAATACTGGTGGCGTAGAAACGTGCAATGTTGAATGCGTAATTAACAGCAAACTCAACAGCCGAGGCAGAATAAATAGCAGCCGCAAAAATGGGCAGTAAAGTTAACAAAATATTCGTGAAATTAATCTAAAATTTCACCGTATCCAAAGTTTTGTGTAAAAACATCGTTAAATTTTAATGTTCACTCGGTAAAAAAAATATTAAAGCTTTCAGATTTTATATTGTGTCCAAAGGGGCATTTTTTCATGCGGGGGGGGGATTCAAAACGGAATTTGAAAAATGATACAGACATTCAGTCATTCGATGCAAAATACCGTTAGACATTATAACGCTTCTGCGTTGCTACATTACCATCATAAAAACAGTAAAATATGTAAAGAAACCTCGCGCATAAATAGCCGTGTTTGAAGATGCATGCGATGTTACTGTTAATGGAACACTTTGAAATCGTTGAGTTTCTTAATCAAAAATTCATTAAAGTTTAACAAAGTATGAAATAGATCAAGGTTCCAAACCACGGGGATCGCAGAACCTGCAGCAGGAGGTCGGCAAAAATTTTAGCAGTTTTGATATTTCTTTAACTTATTATAATAATTTTACAATTACCAAATACGAGTATTTTTACACAATGTACCTGAAAATAGATAAAGATAGGACAATACAGGAAAAGGAAAAACAAAAACGTTTCGATACATTCCTTTTATAATATAAACGTTCATTTTCCTTGCTTTGCACTTGACGCTGTCATTTCGTCTATTAATTATTTAAAATTTTCGCATTGTTCTATGTCTTAAAATTAGGAATTAAAGTTAATGACCTAAAACTGCAATAGTATATTACAGTACAAGTGAAAAAACTGACAGTTTCACTCACGCGTGTGCCGGATTTGCGCAATGCTTATGCGGCCCACAAAATTTTTGTAAATACTATTATGCGGTCCTGGGAATTGCGAAAAACTCTCAGTGATAAAAAGGGGTCTCAACTGAAAAAAAAATTAAAAAACCCTGAAATAGATAATAAAACAGATTCAAATTCCAAATTTTGGTTTCCAGATGCCCATATTCGAGTGGAGGACTAAGTTATTCTAAACTGGATGTCTCTGGGCACCGTTGTTTTTTTTCACAATGCTAGAAACATACATACATTCATGCACATTCTTCATTATTTAATTTCTTTAAATATAATGTAGGACTCTAATATTTGGTGGCAACAATATGGAAAGTGATTCAGAATTCTATAGCGAAAATGTCAAAACGAAATTAATAGTCCTTCTGGGCTAAAAATGAAAAATCTCTTTCCACTGGTCGGATTAACCAATTTTAACTTATGCGTTTTGACACAAAATTGAACTTTTTCTGAAATGATATACCGTTTTTTTTGGAACGCGAGGAGATTAGTATTTCCTTTTTTAAATTTATGAAGTAAAAAATCCTATGTGTACACCACATGACTTCCTTGTACGGAATATTAAATTATACGCATTTTTTCTTGCATTTAATTTAATCTTATTGGGTTGAATTAAATCTACTTCGTCGATAGCGAATAAACCACAATACAATAAATGCACTCTTTAAAATTCACTCTATTTGTTTACCATAGCGACACTCTGGCGCCAGGTTCACTTAACAGCGTTATATTTCATTCATATTATAACTCAGAATGCATAAAATATTATATCATTTGATGAATTATCTAATCGTTGCCACGTGTTCTATTCAAATAGTATAATAAATCTAGAACGATGTACAAAAGAAATTAATCAAACAAAACAAAACAGAAACAGTTTTTCACAGACGATTCAGTATTTCTTCATTAATTCAATCACTTCGCGACAAGGCAAAAATACACAAAAACTGAAAATAACTATATAAAAAAATTTACGAAATAAATTTTAAACACTTATTTCCTCGAAAGAATTCCAGAAAGGACTAAGCATGATTTAATTCGCAATAATAAATAAAGGCGTTATCTTTGTTGTTACGAAGCTTAGTCTCTCTAGATTGACAACAAATCTACTATTCTGCTATTTCAAATGTAAACAAACATGGCCGCCATGTTATTTAAAAATTAGTCTTAACCGCACTTAAACAGCTTTTAAATTGTTGATAATTCTACAAATATTGCTTGCAGGCATAAAACTGTCTTAAAGACATAAAAACCGTATTCGGAAGATAAGAACAACATCAAACATTTTTAACTGCGTGTTTCTCATTTTTAAAGCAAAAAATGCACAATTTGCAAAAAGAGTAAAGAAACTGAGATCACTGAGCCGGGTAACAGAGTGGATATCTATAAATATATTTATATACGTTTGGTGCGGCCGATTGTAACCAAAATACGAGGTGCACATCGACATGTTATAGCGGTCCTATATACAAAATTTCATCGTTCTGAGGCTACTCGTTTTTCAGTTATGCGAGATACATACGTACGCACGTACGTACAGACAACACGAAAAATTCTCTTCAGAATTCATTTTAAAGCAGTTTCATAATTTTTTTGGAGAAAAAGTGTCTTTTATTCTGTCCTTATGTACAGATGTCACGCAAAAACATAGTTAATTTGCATTCGATAGCGGTGAAAATGGATATTTTTGTTGAAATATGGTGCCTGAAACTTTTCGAGATTACAATACTTCTTTTCTACGTCTTACAAGGAAGTAAAAATGGGAGCATGATTACGATACATCATTTTAATACATGGTATCATTGAAATGTTATAACTAATTGATGAATGAAAAATTAAAATACAGACTTATTCATCTAGTAAATAAAAGCAATTCAATATTTATGGGGTTGATGTTACAACAGCCTTACAAACAAGTTTACGTTTAATTCATGACCTTGTAGCCTTTAAATGGAGAAAAGTTAGAAAACGCTTCGACAGAAGACGGCAGGCTTTGGTAAACTTTCGAATTTCAGAATGTTCAATCACTTAAAGGTTACCACCTTGGAGATTTATGTCATAATATTTACTGCAATTTGGACAGCCGCCATTACAGAAGTTGTGCTGTTTGGCATAATATCCGAATTGTGTAATATCGAGACAACTATCTTGAAGTGCAAAATGTACTACGTATAAAATCGTTGTGTTTTTAATCATTTCGTAAAAACGATAGAGTTTATCCTCTTGCGTAATTTATCTTTCATGTTTTTCATGCTTAATTCTCAGAAAAATTGTGATTCCTCATTGCTTTCATAAAGAACTTACAACTAATTTTATTATACCAATAAAAAGAATATTCCCTTTTACTTCCTTTTTTGAATATGTATTTTTATTGTATGTTTTACTATACGTGGAATTCTTACGATTTTTATTTAATACATCTGCTAGGTATTTTGTTCACTTTAGAAATTGAATGTACCGTATATCCTCGCGTGTTTTCCTCCTCGTAAATCTCCAGATTCCTTGCGTTTTCCCTAGCATTTCAGCGCCAAGTTCTGAAAAATTTAAAACATATTTACGTTATTTTCTTTTTCTTCACTGCGTTCAGAGAGCTTCCCTAAGTTTTAAAGTGGGGATGTGGATTCATTCACGTAGTGATAGTTTTCGTCTTACTAACAAAGACAAACACTCAGCTATCAGTGAATATCACGCCAAACCTTTGCTTTCTAACTGTTGACCTTTATGCCGCAGTCTATTTTCCTTGAGTCACCAGCACATTCAACTTCTCTAATTATTTACGGATGGTTTAAGGCCTAAGGAGTAGCAGAGACAGCAATAAGAATCGGCAAAATTCAGGTTACAGGGAAGTAGAAATGAAGATACCTTATCAGGTACTGTAATATTAATATTATTATGTATTTTTATTAGAATGTAAGTTTCTTTTAAAGAAATAATATTTTGGTAGTTACCTGCAATTTATCCATAACTACGTTTTATTTAACATCCTAGTAACTCGATGATTTTAAAGCAACGTGTTGCCATTCGGCAGATGAGATATTAATGCTTGAAATTTAATGAAAAAATAGAACGATTTAACAGAAATGTGTTGCCACTACTCCAAATAAAATATTTTTATCTTCCACTCGCCAGTGTGTTGCCATTCGGCAAAGTGTAAGATATTTAATTTTTTAAAATTTAATCTGTATGCTACTGATTAACAAATAAGCGATTTAAAAGAATAAACGCAGGTTTTAATTCATTAAAATCATTACGTGTTTTTCTTTTTTTATAACTCTTATTTATTAGGAATTTATTGCTTTCATTATCAGCTTTTAATGCCTATTCCTGGAAATATCTCTTTGAAATATCCGAAACCTTCAGTTTTAAAAAAATGCAATTAACCTTGTAGGATTCTCCACTGTGTAATTCTAAGTTACAGTTGAAAGTGAAGAATCTTAAGAAGTAGTAAGCGAACAATCGCTTGAGTTCGTGTACATGAAACAACAAGCAAGAAAGGTGAAATAACCCTTTATTATTCCAACTAAAGTTTAACGAAACTCCGTCTTGGAGTTAGTTGTACAATAAAGCCGACACTTCGGCTTGAACTTAAGAGACTAAGAATTAAACTAAACTAATCTTAACTAAAGAAATAAAGTTTACAATTGGGTGCCCCTTGTTTTTTTGGCAGAGTTGGCCCCTTAACGCTAGTTGACTACGAAGCTATCAAAGGCCTAAAGTACGGCCGAGCTTAATAATAGCTTACGAGAGAGTAGCCTAAAAAGGCGGACGCGTGTGCAGCCAGAATAATCTGGTATCTCTCTCATTAAGACTGTAGAACTCTTACTGAAGAACTGTAGTCTCTTTATTTATTTATTTATTTATTATTTTTTTATTATTTTTTTTAAGTTTACTATGTGCAATAATTTAATAGGTTACAAATTTCCTCCATGCAGGACCAACGATTTCACAAAAGCTCTATAAATATATGACAGTTGTGTCAGGATAAGCACCCGCATGTAGACATTTAGCAAGTCCAGAAAATCCACGGCAGTAAATTTTTCAGGCAGAGTCCTCCTATCTAACACAAGTTTCTGTCTATTCTAACAGCGATTCTTAACAGTCTTTTGATTGCTTCTTTGCTTAATTCTAAGTAGTCCCTAACAGGATACTCTTTCCCCGTACAACAACATCCAAGCTTATATGTAGACTTTATGAGGCTCTTAGCCGTCTATTCTAACAGTCTTTTGATTGCTTCTTTGCTTAATTTTAAGTAGTCCCTAACAGGATACTCTTTCCCCGTACAACAACATCCAAGCTTATATGTAGACTTTATGAGGCTCTTAGTCGTCTATTCGGCTGCGTTCCCGGAGCAGGATGGAGCAGAGAGTAGATGGTTTCTGCCAGGAAGATAACACACTGTGAGGCTAAGGCCAGGTCAGTGGTCTTCCTTGGTGACGCTCACTCACTCACTCACTGTAGAACTTCGCGGTTATATACCGCTCTTCGTCGTTAGCATTCAGACGTGATTCTAAAACCACGTTCTGGCCGGAAGTGGTAAGTTGAAATTAAGAATCGATAGGAAAGGAAGTTTTACTCAAAATTTAACTGCTAATAAAATTAACATAATCCTTACAACCTTCTGTAGGATGATTACCGATGGTTGCAAATACTATATTTAGTCGTCTGTGAACAGAGTCGTAGCTAGGGTTTTCAGCGCCCAGGGACAACTGAAGATTTCTCGCCTATTGCTTGCCAAGTATGGAAAACATTGTACAGTCCAGCAGATATACTTCCGTGTGAAAAACTGGAATAGTGGTAACTGCACCAAGCGAAGGGTTAAATTACTTTTTTATTAATTCTTTAAAATTTACAATGCGTCAGCTCGACGCTAACAAACTTCGTCTCTGCTTGGGCGGTAACTGAAAAATCAGATAACGAAACTAAAATTTGAAGCTATTTAACAAGTGATAGAACTAAACTACAGGGCTAAGCGAGATACCGTTACTTAAACCCCTTTCGAAACTAGTGGCAGCAAGTAAATGCAATTAAGCCACGTGAACCAGCAATAAGCAAACGTATCTACAGCAGAGGGGGGGGGTTGTAGCTTAACTCTCTTTTCTTTCCCACTGAAACTCGGCTTTTATATCTTCAAAGTAGAAATTTGCATTCCTCCACCCGCGCTACAAAATTTAAATACACTCTTTTGCAAAAAAATCGAAGCACCATGAAGGAAGTAGTTGTTTTTGATGAAATTGAATATGTGTATAGCTCATATACAATTAATAAAATTATTAAAAAATCAAGGTCACCTGTTGACGACTCACAATCATCCATTGTGTGTTCAAATTAGTAGTTGGTGGAACTTACCCTGGCGGCAATGCATGCTTGAATTCGTCGAGGCAAGGCGTGGTAGAAGTTCCTAATGTCATCCTGTGACACATTCTGCCAGGCATTCATCATTTGTCGCTCCAGATCTGCAATATTTTGTGGTGCCCGAATCTGGCGGCCTACCTTGTTCCAGACACGATCGATTGGTGAAAGGTCTGGTGACCTTGCTGGAAAAGGAAGGGTATCAACCGCACGGAGACAGTCCAGAGATATGCGAGCGGTATGTGGCCTGGCATTGTTGGAAAATGGCCCCAGGATGACATGCCATGAAGGGTAATGTAACCGGCTGCAGGATGGTATCAATATATCGTTGAGCTGTTAAAGATGTACGGAGGATGACTAAAGATGACCTGCTGTCATAAGAAATAGCGCCCCGCACCATCACACCAGGGGTTATGCCTGTATGCCTTTGTAAAACAAAGGCTGATAGGGTCCCCTGGCCCCGTTCTATCCAGACACGAACACGGTGATCGTCTGCTTCAAGAGTGCTACAATTATAAAATTGTATTAAAATATTTTGTTTTGTTTTTAAAATGTGTTATTTATTTTTTCTTTACTGAAACCGGGCCCCTTCAAATTGCGGGCCCTAGTCTGTCTGTTTCACTGACTACCAATAAGTATTTGGACACCTATGCAAATGACGATATCTGCGGTCCTAAGGTACGTCACGGACTCCGCCGGTACATATCGTGTAGGAAACAGCATCGGCTTTAGTCGCATGCAAGATGCCTCGCAGTTCGGAGCTGATTTCGAGAAAGGTATAATTATCGGGTATCACAAATGTGGCCGATCCTTAAGGGATATATCTAGCGATCTGAAGTACCCAAAATCGACAGTGGCCTATGTGATTAAGAAGTGGAAGGTGAGCGGTGATTGTTGGAATGTGCCCCGAGTCGGCAGACCTACGAAACTGGGAGATAGAGACCGACGAGTGCTGTCCAGAGAAATTCGGAAGAACCGCACCCAACCGATAGCCCTCATCCGCAAGGAGTTTCAACAGGCATCCGGGAGTATTGTTTCAATGAATACCATCCGTAAGGAAGCACATCTGCTTGGTTTTCATGGTCGTGCTGTTGCCCATAAGCCTTTGATCACAAAGTCCAACCGCGCTGCTCGGTTAATGTGGTGCAAAGCACATCGAAATTGGACCGTAGATCAGTGGAAACGGTTTCTTTGGAATGACGAATCAAGGTTCACCCTTTACCGTTCGGATGGCAGGGTCTGGGTCTGGCGTCTACCTGGAGAACGTCTCCTGCCAGAATGCATTGTGCCAAGAGTCAAGTTTGGCGGAGGTGGAATTATGGTCTGGGGGGTGTTTCTCCTGGTATGGGCTGGGACCCTTGGTCCCCATTCATGGTAAGCAGTATCTCAGCCAGCAGTATCTATATATTATTATTTTTTTTAATGGCGGGCACTAGCCAGTTTTAGGCTTTCGGCACTACTAAGGCCAGAAGTGGTGGTCATTTTATTATGAAGGTACCTAATAGGCGGCCACTGTTACCTCCTAAGAAGGGACAGACAATGCTTTCTCTGGGGTTCGAACCAGGGCCCATCAGTTTCGCAGTCGCTTTATCTACAGTGGTGGCCAAAATTGTGGACACTTTTGGAAATTTTTATGTTTTTGAACTTTGTATGCTTATAGAAAATGTTCCGTTTCGCAAAATGCAAACTTGTATGTATCATTTTAAAGAGAATTTATTACTGAATTCAATATAAAACACAAAATTCAATTATTTGCAATACAAAAGAAAAGTTATATGTACTTTAATATAAATAAAAAACACAGTTATGAAGTGGTTTGTAATGTCTAGCTTTCCTGGCCAATCACTGTTCTTGTTCTTGAACCAATCAAATGTTAGTAACTGCCAGTGGAAGCTGACATCATGTTTACACTTGAAACAATTCATTATTTTGCTTTGTTCTGTAGAAGAAGGACCTGTTTCTTATACACTGCAATTACAAGTAGGAATTTTTGTAAAAATTTTTAATATTTAGTCAAGAAGCAATGACATCAAATAAAAGAGTAGATTGGACACCTAGAAAGAGATGTAATATTATTGTGTTACGAGAAAGTGGTCTTTCCTATGCTGAAATTCCAAGACAGGTGGGTGGTTCAGTGACTACATCTGGTGTCCGAAAGTTTTGTTTACGGTATCAGGAGACAAATTCAATAAAAAACAAAGAAGGGAAAGGCCGAAAAAGGTGCACCACATCTATTGATGACAGAAGAATAAAAAGACTATGTCTCCAAGATAGAAAAATGTCATCAGCGGCCATCAGAAGTGATCTCAATGATGCTGGTGTTTCTGTCAGTTCAAGAACAATCAGGAGAAGATTAACAGATGTTGGACTGAGAGGTAGAATTCCACGAAAAAAAGCCTTATCTTAATTTTCAGCAACGAAAAAAAAGACTACAGTGGGCAAAGGAACACATTAATTGGACAGATGATCAGTGGTCACAAGTTATATGGAGTGATGAAATTAAGATATCGTTATTCGGTAGTGATGGGCGAAAATATGCAAGACGTAGAATAAGAGTACATCCTGTCTGCATTCAAGCAACTGTGAAGAACCGAGTTAGTGTTATGATTTGGTCATGCATGTCAGCAGATGGTATGAGTCGCCTTCATGTCATCGATGGGACACTGAATGCCAGAAAATACATTGACACTATACTAGAACCAAAACTTCTACCTTCCATCAGAGATCTCTTTCCCAACAATGCTTCGTTATTTTTCAGCAGGATTTCTGCTCTTGCCACACGGCCCAAAATATCGAAAGAGTGGTTTCGTACAAAGAGCGTTAAATTGTTGTCATGGCCAGGAAACAGTCCTGACCTCAATCCTATCGAAAATTGGTGGCACCGTTTGAAAACTCTTGTCCGAATGAGGCGCCCGTCAAATAAAAGGGAGCTCATTGAGGCTACAATTGTTTCCTGGCATCATGTAATAACGAGAGAAGAGCCTAAAACTCTTGTCAGCTCAATGAAACTTCGATGTGAAGCTGTAATCAAAAATAAAGGGTACCCTACTAAGTACTGATAACTCACTGCAATCATCACTATCTAAAGTTATCGATAACTATTTATCGTTTAACTTTTTTTGTATTGCAAATAATTGAATTTTGTGTTTTGTATTGAATTCAGTAATAAATTCTCTTTAAAATGATATATACAAGTTTGCATTTTGTGAAACGTAACGTTTTCTATAAGCATACAAAGTTCAAAAACATAAAAATTTCCAAAAGTGTCCACAATTTTGGCCACCACTGTATATGTTTGCTTATAGCTATTGTAGAACTGTCCTAAATTATTAAAACTTCTCCGTTTTCTAACTTAAACCTTGTAGAGACATTTTCGAAGCAGGAGAGATGAAAAATGAGAAATGCTCTCACCGGGACTCTAACCACGGACCTCTCGAATACTCGAGTGTGCTGGCCATTACACCCCGAGGGCATGCTAAGAAGGCGGGAGAAATACCTTATATATTCGCCCTATTAAAAAGCGACTGAGGATTAGGGGACCCAATCGTCAAATCCTGGTGCTGGATTATCATCATCCACCACCTTTTTAGTTCGGGCGCCTTTGTATAGGATGCTGAGAGACGTGAAAAATGAGCAATGTCCTCGCAGGGACTCGAACCATGGGCCTCTGGGCCCTGTGTGTTGGCCATTACACCACGAAGGCATGCTAAGAAGGCGGGAGAAAAACATTATAACCTTATCGAACATGTGCGGAGGCTCACATTTGCTTTCGGTCCCACATGCTTTTCATCTCTATTTGCAAATAACATTTATTAAATATTAGCGAAAGGATTTTATTTTACTTTTATATACTGTAGAGTCATTAGGTTTTATTTCGGAATCAGGCAAGATGAAAAATAGCAAACGCCTTCGGGAATCGAACCACGGACCTCTGGAATACCGGCCAAGCGTGCAGAACCACGAAGGCACGCTAGGAAAGTGGAAAATACCTTATAATACAACATCGGTCATTAAAAAAAAAACCTGCTTGTTGTGAAAAAAAGTTTTTACTTTAAAAAAAGTTCTGAAAATGAAACTCGCATAAATATCTAGACACTTTGAGGTAACATTTTATAATTAATAAAATCATGAAAATAACGAGTCATTCACTATTTTGTTGGATATCTTCTAAGCTAAAATTACATGATTTGGCACAGATTGAAGTAAGTGTATGAATGTTCCAATCCTCCGTAAGAATTGCTTTTAGTAGAAGTGTTACCGTCAAAGTAGGAAATTCGGCATTCTACAGAATGCCTAGGCATTGTATATAATGCCTAAAACTAACCGGCAATGTATGAGACGATTCATATTTCACACATTTCCTAGGCATTCTATAGAATGCCAAATGACAAACCGGCAAAATATAAAATACATTTCCGATTCGTTTCGAAGAACCGAAACTACTTACCAGAAGTTAATAAATGATGTAAAAAGGCCAAAATGACTACTGAGAAAGAAGAACGGGACTACTGGGCCACCGAATCGCTAGGTTGTGATGTTTGTGGAAAACAAAAGTACATTCATTTAATCCTGTTAAAGAAAGCGTCAGTACTATGCAGTACTGCGTCACGGACGCTGAGTTATTTTTCGTGTTTCATGAAAACTAATTTGAATACTGCACAGGAAAGACGTGACGGAATGTCGAAAGCACTTTCAACCAATTACAAAAATGCTACACGTAATGATATTTAACTGTAACAACCACCTTTGTAAGCTCTGCCATAAAAAACCAAAAGGTATTAAAAAAGTCACTGATATGAAACTTATGATTGTTTCTGAATTTAACTTCTATTGTCAGGTAGATCTTACCGATTCCCAGTCTCAGCCAGATAGAAAATACAAATTTATTACGCTGAATCCAAATCACCTCACTATCTTTGTTTTTACATATTTCGAAGAACAGTTTTTTTAATGGCACTCTTTCATTAATTTTTCAAAATAACGTTTGTATTTTAGAGGAATGGACGTCTTTTAAATAACAGCCTTATCATAACCTTTTTTTTTTTTCATATTTTACCTAAAGAGCATTTGTCATTCTATAGAATTTTTCTAGGTATTATATACAATGCCTAGGTAAAGTATATAATAATTCTCTTTTTTGATACTTTGCCTAAAGTCGTCCGGCATTATGTACAATGCCTAGGCATTCTACAGAATGCCGGCGTTTCATACTTTGTCGGTAACATAAGTTTTAAGAAAAATCATATTTTCTTATTCATTTTTGCAGTTCAGTTCATACATGTTCGATAGGATTTATGTCTGTAGAATGCAGAGGAATTTTGATTATTTCAAGACAGTTGTATAATAACTACAAGCGAACATTTAGGGCTGTATATTTAAAATCCTTATCCCGTAGGATTTGAATATAATTTACATTCCAAGTTTTCTCTCAGACGCTTTTAAGTTTTCCTTAATTTATAGATTTATACGAATTATTTTCTGAAATACTTTCGCATTTCTGAGGCAGCGAAGCATCCACAAATCATAAAGTATTAACTCCCGTGTTTAACAACTGGCAAATATGTAATATTCAAACCTTTATTCGAGTTTCACCGTAAAATAATTTTCCCATTGGACCCAAATGTATTAAGTTTTGACTGGTTTGCAAAATAACATTGTTCTTCTAATATGATAAATATTTACTTACCGTTGATTTTGCCAACCTCAGATTTATTTTCCTTGTTTTCTTGTTGACGGAGAACTTCCTTCTTGCTGATCGACCAATGTATCCATTAGATCTAATGATGCTTCTTAAAATTTCAGGGATAACTTTTAATTAAATATGTTCTATTTTACAGCTCTAATTTTTGGTTTTGCTTGATTTTTCTTAAAATAAATCCCCGATTCCTTCGTGTTATCTTGGAATACGTTCCAATCTTCAATGCGTTTTAAACGATTTCATTTGACTTTAATCTTTTTAATACCATCAAATATGGTTGAGCGCTATACACATAGAATATTCGGGGTATTTTGAATAGTTTACCATCTTTAAAATGAATTTAAACTAAAAAAAATTAATTCTAACAGAATTTGTCGTTAATTTTTATCGGCTCCTCATATTCACTTCAAATACAAAACTTCCAAATACAGACGATAATTCTTATGATGTATTTTTATTTATATTTTGATAAACAAGTAATAATTATCAAATGCAGACGATAATTCTTATGACGTATTGTTATTTAAAACAAAACATTTGTGGCAAGAAACATTGCCTTCCATAAAAACAATAAAACTTTCGAGTGTCCGAATTATTATGTGAGTTACTGATTAACATTTTATAAATAAACTATTTTATTATGCGGAGTATTTCGTTGATATTTATTTTGCAACAAGCAAAGGTTAAAATAGACAAAAATATATTAGCAAAAAAATCGAACTCAGTGTTTCAGTATTTAGTATAAGATTTTCGCAAAAATGCAAGTGTCCGGAAACAAATGTGAGCTACTGTATAGAATAAATAAGAGAGTTGGACAAGTGAACATGATATTTCTTTAATAGCACAAAAGAAAGTAACTTTGACGGAAAAATGACTGAACGTTCGTGTACGGAAACATTAGTTGTATCAAAAGTTCTTGAAAATTAGCATTTTAGTTAAAAGACATCCCATAAATATTAAAATGTTTTGTTGCTTGTATTTATTATTTTTTAATATGAATTGTGTCTTCTGAATCTCCAGATACTTGTATGAGTTTGTTTCTAGCACTTTCTGTGTAAATTATTTTAAGAAACGTTTTGAACATACTTTTTATCCAAATCTTGGTTTATAATATGGGTTATTTAAATGTGGGTAAATATTATATATGCGAAAAATATTTGAAATCAAGGTGTTTTCAGATAACTGAACTGCTTAACGAGTTGGGTGATTAAAAGCCCTATAAGTGTTTCTTAATACTTTAAAATTTTAGCTTTTTTTAATATATCTAACTGATACATTTAACTTCTAATATATTCATTTGATAATTATGAATATTTTCAGGTTTATTGTAATTAATGAAAGTAGTGCATAGTATGTCATTTAATTCAGTACTGAATCATTTGTTTTTCATTCAATACATATTGCAAAAACATTTGGTAGAGATATTTTTAATATTTTGGTTGTTAATATACTTTTTTGTGTGAATGTTTATATACTGCTAATTTTCTGTATTTTATTCTAGGCTCACAAAGCTTATAATTTATTGTTCAGTCACTTTGAATTCCAACAGAGGAAAATTTTTTTGATTGTTACCAGTTTCTTGTCATCATAATACATTCCAAATATAGCAGCTTTATTAATCAGACTAATGTTGCCTTAAGTGATAAATATAAGAATGTTGGGCTTAAAAAGAAAGAGCATTTTCATAGACGAATCGAAAATCGGTGCTTTACTGAACGATTGCGATGTAACTGATAGTAAAAAAATCAAAATTTTCATATTTGATAGTGAAAGAAAACCGTGTTCTGAAGTCAACAATGAAAGAAAAGATATTGGCTGTGCTTCAGAAAATAAGATATGCAAGAGTGTTGCAGAATATTGTACTTCTCAAGCTGTTGTTTTATGCAGTTTCAAAATAAATAGCTACAAGTTAAAAACAAAGTCAATTAATCAGAAGTTAGTACATAAAAGTTATTATCTTCAAGATATATATCAGTATCTGAAAGAAAAAGAACGTAATAACTGTCCATTGCCTACTTACATATTAAGGCAACCGTGGATTTCGTTGTCATCTCGTAATATTGTTATCGATGCCTTAATTTATGTTACATATGTACTGGAATTCGATGATAACGTACTTTTCCTTTCTGTTTATTATTTAGATCGTTTTTTATCTCTTGTTTTTGTCAAAGGTACCAAACTGGCAGCTGTTGGTTTTGCATGTTTATTTATCGCTTCAAAATATGAAGAAGCAACCACTGATAGATTAGAAGATTTTGTTCCTTTTATGAAAAACATATGTACAAAGAAAGAAATATGTGAAATAGAACGCAAAATTCTAAAAACATTAGGTTTCGATATAAGTGGCCCAACAACATGTTTCTTTCTAGAATGCATCTGTTCTACGATGGAAGTATCTGATGCAATATTTTTTTTTGCTTTGTTCATCTTAGAAATGACACTGATGGAACCTGACTCTTTTTTAAAATTTTTGCCAAGCAAACTTGCAGCTTCTGCCCTTGTTGTTGCAACTAACATGCTGGATATTCCTTTTTGTGAAAAAATGCTACAAACTTCTTCTGGTTATAGCCAAACTGATACAAATACCTGCTGCAAACTGTTACGTAAATTGTACAGAAAATTTATATCTCGTCCAAGACGTTCCATTTATGAAAAATATAAATCATCTGATTACCTCAGGGTTGCAGATTTGCACACAAACGTCATGTGATTGTATAAAATAAAAGTAATAACTTGATGTAAAATCCTGTGACTGTATTTTTAGTTTTCATTATATGTGATATATTACAATTATATGAATATAACTTAATCATAATCATGTAAAGTACCCTGGTTCAAGTTTAAAAAATAATTATGAATGATAATGTTATTACACTGCAACTTGCTGTGATGCGTCTTTTCCCTCATAGTGATTTTATACATGCAATTGTAAATTTAAGTATAAATTCTAGAAGATTGATCTTAGATATTTAAAAACTGCAAAAAAATAATGAATTAGGAAAAGTTCTTAAGAATTAATATTTTATTTAATTAAAAAAATATCTCTTTGTTATTAATTAATTTTTAAATCTCAGTATCATGTTTGTGACAGTCTGTTTCATATTTTTAAATTATGTGAAATATTTTTGCTTTGTAGTACTTTAAATGTTAAGAGTTGCAAATCGTTCGAGTTCCCTCTTTACGCATTTTTTTTTTTTTTTTTTTTTCGTTAAAAGCATTTAAAACGGTGTAAAATTTTATTCTGTAAAAAATATTTTGCTTAAAACCTTTTATTTACGTTAGAAATATCTAGTCATGTTTTCTTACGTGATTGTAGCCCACCAGCGGCCGAGCGGTAAGTCGCTGAACACTGGTAGTTCGGTCCGAGGTTCGAATCCCGCGAACGGGCTGGATGCATTGGTGTTTTCGTGGTTTTCCCCATGTGTAACGTGTATACGAGCCAGTTTTTCTTAGAAAGTCCTCCACGAAGGCATCCCTGCTTTTAGGCAGGTAGCCCTAGTGTGCTTTGCCGTAATTAAATGCACCGCACCTTATATGATTGTATACATAATCCTAAAATTTTGAAATTAAATAGACACTAACCGGTAAATCAGGTATATATTTTTCGAGGGGGGGGGTAACTGCAGATTCCAAGTTTTGGTTTGTATGTTATATCTTGTTTAAAACGATCAGTATCAGCAGTTTTTGCATTGTTCTAGAATTTTTTTAAGGTACTCCTGCCATATCCGCAACGACTGGAAAATTAAGTTAAAATTATTCAGGATATTGTGCATAGTTCAAAATTAATAGGATATTGTGGGGGGGGGGAAAGTTCAAAATTATTAAAGGTATTGTGCATTTTATACTTATTGGAGTAAATAAGCTTGATCTTGATTAACTGCGTATGTTCAAGTTAAATATCTATAATAAATTATATTAAACAAATTATTAAATGATTATTCAAATATTGGGTCAGTCATAAATTCGTGCGCATTTTTGGCAAATTTATAAATAATATAAAAAAAATCACAATTTAATATTTTAATCAATTATATATTTCCCTCTATTATCTGCATTGTCTCGCCATTTTACAGGCAGCATTTTTATTCCATTGCTGTAAAAAGACTCTGGTTTTGAAAAAAAAAAAAGGAAACTTGAAAGTTCATTGTGTACATCTTGTTTAGAATTTAATTTTTTCCCATAAAAATTTTGTAAGGCACGAAATAAGTGAAATCACTTGGGGCAAATCTGGGGAGGGGAGTAAGCAGGATGTGGCAAAAGCTCCCAATTAATCACTATTTTTGCGGCGTTGTTCGAGCGTATGTGGTTCACCGTTCTCATATAAACACACTTTCTTGATTTACCAAGTAGGCATTTTTGATCAGTCTGAGTTTAGAGGCAAAGTGTTATATAATTCTGAATGAATCGTTGATTGTTCAATAGTTCAAACGTCCTGAACGGGTTCTCAAAATGCTCTTTTTCCACTTTAAATTTTCAGCATTTCTAGCAGTCCTTACGCTAATAGTGTGTCACCAGGACATATTAATTTATTTTATCGCTGCAACGGGCAGATCACCACACTAAAAAAAAATTGCACACACGTTTATACTTTTACAATATAATTTTAGGTCTAATGGTTTATATTTACGAAAGTGGTATTGAATTAATATAGTTAGTCAAACGATGACAAGTTCAACGGTTCAAAATTGTATTGTTTATAAATGCGTATGTGAATTCCACGCATACTCTTAATGCGCACGACTATGAAACTGACCCGATAAATTATTGCAATACAATTAAATACATTACTCCGGGATGACAACCTATGTCACGTGCGTTTTTCGGTGGCCCGCCAGAGGTATCTAATATATTACTTTGTCACTTACATTCACTGAAACAACATTCAAAAAAAAAAAAAAAAGTCTTCAAAACTGTATATATATATATAATTTAATAAATTCTCTATTCGTATAAAGCAATTAAATTTTAAATTATGAAATTAACTGATAGAAATAGAAATGTTATATTGCGCGAACTACTTTGTGATATCATTCAAATTGAGAGAAGCTATGTAAATAGTGCAGTCTCTAAAATCATGAAAATTTTAATAATCCTTAACTTTAACGATTTTTTAGATTAATTAATTGCGAAATGAATATTGTCAGCAGGCAGTTTCAGGTTTTGATACTGCACAATTACCATGCTTCTCTGAATTGATGTATTCAGATTAGTTCGCAACAATAATTCTTTTTTAGTTGCATAAGTTAAATAATATTAAATTAAATATAAATTCGCTTTATACGAGTGAAAGAAGATTGTTAAATTCAAATTCATTCCTTGCAGCAATGGCGGCAAGAGAATTATTTAAATTTATTTAACTTTACTATTTATTAGTCTTATATATATATAATGTGGTGTGTGGATGTCGCATCTTTTTCGTACTTAAATTATCAGACGATAAGTTTAAAAACAGATCCATTTATTATATTTCAGGAAAATAGCAGTTCCAAATCAGATCTCCGAGTAATAAAAGAATTACTAATACTTTTTTGTATGAGTTTACTGCTCCTGACTTTAAGAAAAGCCCCGATTCCTTTGGGAGTTTTTTATAGCCTCTGAAGGCGGAGCTTCCAGAATGACTCCAGGCCAAATCAGTTTCGCTGAAAATTCCAGAACATTCTAAATGTACGTGTAGAACGGCGGGAAAAACACTTGACACGGGCTTGATTAATTCCGGTTCTTTCAAATAGAGAACGTCGCCAAAAAAAAAAAAAAAAAAAAGACATACAGTTAGAAATTTAATGTATTCTTGACTATGGAATTTTATTATTACATATGTATATATCTATATATATATTATATATATATGTATCATATATCCGAATATAAAAAAATTTTCATTTGCTTTTTTTAAAAAAATTAGTCTGTGGTCTGTTTTGAGATCGTGCATACGGTCCTGCCGCGTGTTGAAAACTAGAAATTAATGAATGTTTTTGTACAATTTGCTCCAAAATTCTGGTCCCCCAGCGGCCGAGCGGTAAAATCCTCCTGGTATTCGGTGTGTTCAATCCGCGTACGGCTGGCTGCATGGTCGTTTTCGTGGTTCTCCCCATGCGTAACGTGTATACGAGCCAGTTTCCCTTAGAAAGTCCTCCACGAAGGCATCCCTCCCCCTAGGCAGATAGCCCTCGAGGCTTTGCCGTAATCACACGCCCCCCCCAAAAAAAATATTGACTAACTGTGCATGTAGAATATAGTGATAGACATGGAATAGTCTGACGACATATAGAATATATCAAACCAATAAAAATTAACTATCATATTTGTACATCATCTTTATTAAACATACAAACATAGGAATAGAAAACAGAAGCTAACAAAAATCTTAGATGAATTATGTTACTACCATGCGACATATGTTAAAAGTAACGATGTTGAATCACTTTCTGCATTTTTTGTCCTTCATATTTAGTTGCAAAACTGCTGAAAGATGATTTCGGTCAGATGGTCATCCGTAGCACTTGCAAGTACGTTTCAAGAAATTAGTGCAGTATCCACCTCTGTACTTCACACTTCTGCAATGATTGTGACACTGCATTTGATCGAAAGGACACCCAAATCCTGCTTCAACTGTTGTGGCAGCTGTATGGAATACATTTAATTACTTACTTTTCTATTTCATGCACAATAATATGTTATGTATTTAAATAAAATACAGTCATCTCTATCGTGAGATACACCTCTGACAGTAAGAGCAAAATATATGTAATCATGGGTGGTCTTCTTAGAGAAGATTCCCAGAATTTGAAATCCAAACCATATTGACTTCAAGTAGAAAAACTCGCATTTCTGGGGGGAGGAAGGTAACGTATTTTCTCGCATATTTACCCCCGTACCTTTTTAGCGACAGATTCTGAAAATTTTTAAAAATTCCTTCCTCTACTACGTAATTTTTCTGTCGAAGGGCTAGTTTATTGGTAAACTGCATTCCCTTGATTAGCTTCATTTTTATTCAGTGTATTCAATTTGTATTAGCATTCAATCCATTTTATTTTCCGTTACATTTATTAATTCAGAAGTCAAACAACAAAATTCAGCGTTATATTATTTTCAAAATTTTCACAGGACTAGTTTCGATGGTTTTACCGAACCACCATCCTCAGCTGCAAAACCGCAAATGAACAAGATAGGAAATAATGATTAGATAAGAAAGCCTGGACAAGTGTAAGCAAGTGGCGCCATCTGTTGGGAAACCAGAACTAAAAATAATTTCTTTAAAGGCCAAGGCAAAGATGGATTGGAATTAGGATCGTTAACTAGAACAGAAGGTTTTTTTTATTGAAATGCTCTAGAAAATCCAGTTCTCCAATGGAAGATGTTTTTTGAATAATTTTGGCAGCAGAAAAATTGAAAGTGTGATTTTCGGACCAACAATGTTGAGCAACAGAAGACTTCTGTGTTTCCTTTTTTCTAACATATGCCTCATTTCTTGACGCGAAATTTTAAGGCTCTCTTAGTTTGGCCAATGTAAATTAAACCACACTGGCAAGGAATCTATAAATACCCCAGGAATTCATATCCGGAATGGGGTCCTTGAGTATAGAAGTTGAATTTATTGATGGGAGAATAAACAACCCGAAAGTTAAATTTCTGAAAAATATGTGCAACTTTATAGCTAATTGATGGAAAGAAGGGGATGACAACTGAATTAGTATTTGTTCGGCGTGTATTCTATATTAAACTACCAGGACGTAGCTGGTGTTCTCACACTTAAAAAACTTTCCAAGCTTGTGATTTTTACCTTACTTCTATTATTCACGTTCCGTCTCTCTGTAGGTTTATCTGTTGCTGATTGTATTCGATCTTTTGTTCGTCTCTCTTCTTCTCTGGTGCGAAAATGCGGTCAAGACTAATTCATATTGTCTGCACTTTAAAATGTAACTGAGCCGGACATTCTTTCCCTGCGCGAAGTGTCCGGCTCAGTTACCACAACATGTTGTAATGTGAATATTGTTATGTATTCTTATTGGAATATAGATTTCTTT